AGTCTGGGTCCCCAGAGACTCACCCGGAACTGGAGTTCAGAGCCGTCGGGAGCTTGAGACTCCCTCCCGATTGAAAAAGACACTGGAGTCCTCCGTAACCAGCCCTTTCCACACGCGAGCCTCTGCCTCCGTACCTCTGCACTTTACTTCCGCACCTCCTCTGAGTCTCAGTGTGCTTTTCTCTTTCCTTCTAGTTGTAGAATTTCCACTCAGCCAGCCTTCCTGTGGTTCTGGACGATGTCCATTTTGTCTTTTAGTTGTAGTTTTGAAGTGGTTGTGGGAGGCATCAATTTCCGGTGTTTACCTATGCAGCCATCTTCATTTCTCAATTTTACCTTCTTAAAAGAATCTCTAGATTTGTCAGATCTACAAGTAACAGCTGTAATTCATTTTGTTTTATACATGCTGATTTTCCATGGGTGAGTTAGCCTTGACATCCAGAGTCGCTGTATAGTTAAGTGCAAGGAAAACCAAGAAACACTGAGAGCTTCTTGGTGAATTTTTTGGCTTTGACATTTTAGTTAGCCTTTGAGGTAAACATGGTTTAGTGGAAAGAACACAGACCTGGGAGTCAGAAGACCGGAGTGTGAGTCCCAAGTTAGGAAAGTTATCTTCCCACCTTTGGGCCTCAGTGAAGCAGTTATTCTACACAAGAAACTATTAAAAGTTGTTCTCTCTGGAGAGGAGGATGCATTGCTGGGACACGGAAGTAGGAAGGAGCAGATTTGTCACTTAATATCCTTTTGAATTTTGAACTGTATACCAAATGTATTATCTAGTTTTAAAAATAGTGAAAATTTTAAAGTAAATTAAGATAGCATTTTATAAACATGAAATAATTCTATTCCTTTTCAAATATAATCCAGTTCTACTTAACAGACAATTCTCCAACAAATTAAATTAATAAGCCTCTAAACTCTAATACTTTACTCTAAGCTCCACGATGCTTTAATCTTTCCTCAACTTCACATGTTGAGAAGTTAGGACATCAGAGTTATTCAGCAAACATTTGTTGAAAACTTATTATCTGCCAGTAATTATTGCCAAATTGTATTTGTAATGATTTTCTAGACATAGTCCTCACTCAGGACTGAAAGTTCTGTGTAGAATTTGACCTGAATGTGTTCCTGCCCCTGAGGTCAGTGGTTATCAACTTTAGGGGGCATAAGAATCACCTGGGGACCTTGTTAAAAATGAAGATTCTAGGACTTCACTCCCAGAAATTCTATTCAAGTAGTTCTGGGGTGGACCCAAGAATATGCATTTTTTAAGAACTTCCCCAGAGGATTCTGATGCAGGTGGACATTACAATACCACCCTAGGTGATGTCAGAGGAGTAAATCTGTTAGAGTTAGGCAGTGGGTGGCATTTTATGTCAGTACTAATGTGCGTTTGGTGGAAAGAACCTTGAATCTGAATTAGAAGGCTCTTTCTAGATTCTTTCTACCACTCACTTGGGTAAATCATTTTACCTCACTTTTATAACATGAGGAGATTGACTTAGACGAACTTTTCTGTGTACCAGATTTGAACTTATAAATTTCTGTTTCAGTCACTTTCAGTTGTGATACTACACTCTACCAACATCTGTTTCTTCTGCAAGAATTTATTGGGTACATGCTGCATAAGGTCACTGGACTAGACCAGAGGAGTACAAAAGAGATGGAAGATAGGGGTCGTGTTGTAAGAAGCCTACAGTGTAATAGAACTTTCAATCTAGTATAGAACATGGACACACCTGACAATGTAAGGGAGTTTGTGCTCATACCTAGGAGCTGTTGGAAAAATGAACTATAGAGATAAGAGCATAAGTGAGGGTTGGCTTGGTTAAGGTTTCATGAAGACTGTGCTGTATGAATTAGGCCTTAAAAGAAGATGGACAGCAAGGGGGGTTGAGAGTGATCCTCCAAGAGAGGCCATAAGGTATTTCATCATTCCACCATTGTTTGTGGTGTTTTTACAATATGTCATGTTGGTACTAGCACTTCTGCTGGCCAGACTGAAATAGTGTATGGTTTTGTCTTTTAACAGGAGTGTGACCAGGTGCATGTGGAAGATGTGGCTTCTGATGACAATGGCCAAGACTTAAGGTGATAAAAACAACGATGCCTTAAATACTAGTACACCATAAGACATAATCTAGGCTTAGAGGAAAACAAAGAAAATCATTGGTTTCCTCCACCAGTCTTGCTTTATTGGAATATTTGCTTTATTATGGTGGTCTGGAACTGAACCCATAATATCTCCAAGGTAAACCTATATCAGTTATCTATTGTATAACAAATTATCCCAAACTTAGTACCTTAAAATAATACTCCCTCTGTCCCATAATAATAGTAGCAGTTGATGAATGTAATTTGTCCCATAATAATAGTAGCAAAAGAAAATAAATATAGAACGCAACATTTATTATCAAAAAACTAGATTAAATTAAACAATAAATTAAAAATAGTACTCCTGATTTTTATTTTGAGTGTTCAGATAGTTTCTGGATTTTTCAATAATTTCGTTACTGCATTTTAAACTTGTAGGTAGGATCCCTTGGCTGCGAAGCTTTGCTTTCCCTATA